CAATTAAAACACGTAATTAATATGACCAACTAGCTTGCTTCAATTCAATTTGGAACTTTTTTCCAGTGTGGGACAATTCGCCACACATACAAATGCCTTGTAAGCTTTCAGCATCATGAATAAAATATTCACATGGCGCATAAATAAAACAGGTAAATTTTGAACCCCAGAAAAATTGGGATGAAAAAGTGTTTTTATATTTGAACTCGGGAGTCAATATCTTCAATGGGGTACGCAAAAAGTTTGCTCAGAACTGTTATCATTTCAGTTGCCTCAAACTAAATGAATAAAAAAACCAACCCAAGCATAAGTATTCCACTTTTCTTTGATAGTCGAACAAAAACAAAACAACGCAGAAAGTAAAAAGCGATAGATTACTTACAAAGATATGCCTTGAGTGAAAAACTTAGGATAAATTTATTGAAATACAGCGTTATGAAACCCTTGCAATTAACAAGACTGTATATGATCGTTTGGAAAAAAATTTACGACAGAATAAAATCTTAATTTTGATCAGAGCCATCTGAAAAGAGAGCAAAATACCAAAACTTGCGAGAATTGTTTATTCTGATTGGACTTTTAACACGGTACGTTTTAGAGTCCACTCTTCTCCCCCTGAATTCTTCGCAAAATTTTAGAAAAAATAAAAACCAATAGTGTATTTACCAAGGCATTAGGTCTTGTCCACGAAATTTGGTTGTTCGCAACTTTGCACGCCAAGTAAGGGATCTAATATGGTAAATAACCTAAAAAGCACTAGTGATAAAAATTTAAGTTTTCATTTTCGAACTAGAAGAAACTTGATGAACATGGGTGAATCACGCAGGCTAAGAAATCTTGAAACCACAGTACCCTTTTTCCATTCTGTCTCGGCACGGTATTTCTACTTCGTGGAACTTGCGTGAAAACTGTTTTGAGGATTAATTTGTTTTTTTTTTGGTTGGAACAACACTGGTTGTCCGACTGCAAATCATATTGTTTAATGTCACATTTGTAAAATTTATCCATTTCAAAAGTGTACTTTCCTGTTTTGATTGAATGTTCATTTCAAAATCTCCAAAAGTCATTTTGATGTATTCTGTGACATTTTATTTTTTTGTTTTTGTATAACTCCATTCTAAATAAGAAATTTTAAATTTTCTTGACCTTGTTGTTCTCGTTTAAAATATCAGTTTAGAAAAATGGTCACCTTATACTATTTTTTTTTTTAGCTCACCCATTTTTTTATTGTCTTAATCTTTAGGCCCCCTGATATACATTTCTTAGCACTAAACTGAATCCCTCGATTTTATCCGAAATGTTTTCTTGTGATGCGTTCTTATAACATGAGTAAACGGCAAATTGATGCGTTCCAAATTAAATTGAGTTCAACATTTCAGTCTTTTTAAAAACAATAATAGTCGGTAAACGCGCTCTTTGTATTTTACTTAGCACGTGGGGGATGAAATGAAAAAAAAGGAAAGAAAAACTTTTTTGATTATTTTGTCAATTTTGTCAACCAAAAAACAATTTTTTTAATTGGTTTTAAAGTGCACTCGGAAAATTCAAGGCCTCGCCTTGATATACGAGCAGTCTTGCTTGCTTAGTTGTTGACGGTTCATCAGCAACATGGAAAGGTCTGATGTAGTTGGTGCCATTTAATTTGAACTGATAAATTTTTCACCTTGATCTTGGAAGCGAGTGGCGGTTAGATCAAACATGAAGGGAACCCATTGCCTTTTACCTCGAACAATTCAACATGACCGTTTTAGTTTTTCCAATAAGCCCTTTTCCTTTTCAGCCCTTTGAAAGCCCTTTGAAATTGTTTAAGGGATTGGCACAAACCTTGATTGGACTGTTCCCATTTGAATGTATAGGTAACAGGAAATGTTCAATTAAAGGTCGCTGATATTTCTTTGGCGTTGCGGAAATGATGTGATATTGTCTTTTTATTCCATCAACCCATTAAAAATGTTTTGTGAGATTTATGATCAATTTTCTGGTAATCTTTTTTGGCAAAGAACTGCTGCTTCATTTTCAATTTCAAGCACGGAGCATGATTCATGGTGAGGACAAGCATGGAACTACGGTGCTATCTTATTTGATGCTAATTGAGTTCAAATTTGTTCGCACTAAAACTGCTGATCGGAAAAAAAAAATTTTTTTTTGTTAACCGAGTTGATATAGAAGAGCTACGCTTAGTGCAAACTGAAAGTGAAACGAATAACAAACATATTCGAGTAGTATTATAGCAATACTGAGATGAAAAAAAATATATATAAAAAATGGGCTGTGAAATGGGCATTTTTGGTCAAAAAATGATCCATTTATTAGACTAAAAAACCAATCAAGTTGCTTTTAAAAAAAATACAAGTCAAGTAAAACGTTAATGATAAAATATTGAATTTTTCCAACATGAATCAGGTTTTGGGTTCAAAAATATGCAATAAAACCATAGAAAATCATGAATATGAATCAAGTTTTGGGCAAAAACTATGTTGAAAAACAAAAATTTGGTAAAAATAAAACAAATTTTGAGATCCAAATATGCAACGAAACCATAGAATGCAATAAGCCCAAAAAAATTCGGGTAAAAATACTTATGAGATGAAGAATGCTTCTATAGTTTCTTCTTTTTTGACCAACGCAAGCGTAATTTCTGATATCAGTTGAAATTGTTAAAATTCTTCTGCGATTAAATCAGATTGTGATAAACAGTTCCAGGCAGACTAAGTTATTCATTGTACACTGGTAATTTCAGTCTGCAAAGGAAGGGTGGGAAAATTATGGATTGTTTAAGCCTTCTTTTTCAAGTTCATTAATAGTTCAGGCGAAGCTGCTGAAAATGATCCAGTGCTGGACTGAGTTTCCAAAAAAAGTGTTGCCCTGTGAGCCGGAATGAGCCAAAAAGAATCGAAGGGAACAGATTTGATTTCAGAAAATTAATCCATTGATAGCGTCAGTAGCAGACTTGGGGAAATTTGACCCCTGACAACCCAGGGGATCCCAAATTTGGTACTGTTTTTTGTCATCCATTTTCGGCAGACCGACCTTGATTTTGTTCTAAGCGCGCAGTTGGAGCCAATATATACTAATTTTGAGGGGAAGCGCGTGCCAAAAAAAATTATGTGCGCTTGCTAAAAAAACTGCGGCGCGCATAGTTTAATCAAAATATGTTTTTTGAGGTGTTGTGGGAGAGCTCGCAAAACCAGTTTTGTTGATCGAAAAAAATTAGGTCGACAAAACTTTCGACAGAAGTTGAAAATCAGCAAACCCCCCTCCCCTCGAGACATTCCTAGATGCGCCCCTGGGTAGAGTAAGATTTGGACATAAAGTACCCCAAAACTGTGATAAATAGTGCAAAAGATTGACCAATTGTTGTATACTTCGCACTGGATGCAGATCTCCTGAAAAGGGAGGCACTGTTCGTAAGCATTTGGCCAAATGATTTCAATAAGCCGATGCATATTTATGCGAAAATGACCCAATTGTAAAAATTTTAAACGTAATAGGCGGAAAGTGATCCAATGGGCAAAAAAGACTCATAAAACCGGATCAAAGAGAAGTGTTATAAAGAAAATTGTCTTAAAGTGAAACAATGTAGGGAAACGCTAGTGCGGAAAACTGTGACGTGGGTGAAATTGTAGATATCAAACTACTGCATACAGTGCATAACTACGCAAAAACAATTTTCGGGTGACCGTGATTGTTTAAAAAAGAAACATTATTGTAATATATTTGCAGGAAACTTTGTTTCACAAGTAGAGTCAGCAGGCAAAAAAGTCGATGGGGAAAACATTATTCTAATATATTTGTGCGAAATCTTGTTTCACAAAAAAATTCAGTAAACAAAAAAACTTGGAGAGCTGCTCAATAGTTGAGCCAAATTATTAAAATTTTAGAAATTGGTGTAAAAAAGCTATCATCTCATCTTCTCAGCCCTGGGATAAGATTTTAGTTTTTTTTTTGCGAAAAAGATATTTTTCAAGGCACAAAGTCTAAACTTTACCCAACCAGAATGTTTTCCATTTTGTATTTGAATGGCAAACATTTGATTTAGGGAACAAATTTACAAATTCCATTGTTACATATTGCTTATACACCAAAAAATAATAATTCAACGCAGCACGGGAAAGTTGACAATTGATCATTACGTACAGCAGTGCATATGTATATTCATATACACACACGCACACCACATGCACTCATATACATACATATACACAAATATATACTCAATATATGTATATTTATAAATTTTGCGCCGATCTAGTGCACAGTTTGGCCTCGTAGAACGAGTTCATATCAAGTATTTTGTATATCCAGTTAAGTTCTTGATAACAATCATTGTGAAGTGCTTAGAACTAACCAATCATGATCCATGACTAAAACTTACAAAAATTTGTAAGGCGGAAGCTCTTTATAGTTTCAGCCAGAGAAGAATAAATTTAACTTAGAAAGCAGTTGCTCTTCCTCTCTTCTAAACTCGCAAGAATACCAGTATATACTAGATCTATTGAGACTAGTAAATATAAGAGTAGGATTAGGATCGGTATAAGGTTAAAAAATTGCACGAATCTATCCGGCCAAAAGTAAGATGACGTGACGAACAGACGGTGTGCTTTATCCGAAACTATATGAGAAAATCACACCGGACTTAAACTCCTTCGTAATTTGCATAGTTTTCCGCAGGAACTGGAAATCACAAAAACGATAATCACCACAAAGCTCTTTTATTCAAAAATTAGGTTTATGCCAGTTTGTGAGTGAGTCGATTGACCGTTTAGACCAATGCAGTAATTTTTGAAGCTTTATTACAACATTAATAAATACAAAAAAAATCATTGAAGAGCGAGCATTGAAAATTCTTTAACAACTAAGAACGCACATTGAAAAACAGTTTATATTTTTACCGGTCAGCTAAAGCATACATAAAACTATAAATAATTACGAATTTTTTATTTAAAGTTGTTTTAAACTTACACATTCAAAATGAACATTATAATATTATTAGTTTCTCTTTGTGTTTCCATATTTTTTCGTAACTCTGTTGGCGCCGTGGATACGCCTTCCTGCAAGGAATCTCTGAAGTGCGATTGTATGATAGACAGCGTAAGATGTGTTATGCTGTCCCCAAAAGACGATGATGTTGATAGTAAGTCGCCCATGTTAACAATCTCTCCCCTCCTCCCCCCCCCCCCCCTTAAACAGACAATCTCACCCTAAAACTAATTGGCAAAATCAACTCGTAAAGCCTGCATGTACTATTGTCGAAACTGATCTGATTGGTTGAAAAATATAACTTTAACCAAATAAAAAAATATCCCCCTGAATTGATTTATAGGGTGAGGTTGTTCACTTGGTCCAGTAAATTTTATATAATTTAAACCCGAGTCACTAATTGGTTTGTTTGGAGTTCTTCATTCGGGAAATACGTTGTCGAAAAGTCTTTTTTATTCTTGCACAACATCAAAAAAACCTCTATTTCGGTAGAGACAGTCAAAAAGGTCGATCGTCAGTAATGGAGTGAGGAGCAGGGGAGGGGGGGGGGGGAATAGAGGGTGTAGAGGCGGACGCTTCTTTTTAGGGATTCTTCCCTCCCTCCGATTACCCAAAAGGTTGCCCAATTTGAAGTATTGTGCGATAAAAATTTCGGTCTCTAATCCTAAAACGTTTCTAAACATGTCTGCGGCGACAATTCATACTGAATTTGAGGGGTAGCTTAAGCCGGATAATTATTTGAGTTTGCTCAAAATTTTTCCAACAAATGCAAATTTATTTAAAATCTGGGTCTCCTATCGAAAAACTCTTAGACTGCACCTGGCTGGTTCAATTCAGTCGCAAGACGATAAGCTCAATTTGCGGGCTACACCAGAGAAATTCTTTGAACTTGAGGGCTTTGCTTGAATTGCTTTGAATCATATCACTTTTTAAATTTCAGAAATAACAAGCGAGTTCACGGGTCTTGCAGTATCTCAGTCTGATGTTGTCTTCCGAAAATTGAACCCCCACATTACGTACCTGGATATCCAATGGAGCGATTATTCATTTCTCAACAATGAGCCTGTCTTTTCAAACTTGAGGACTTTTCAGATATTTGCCTCAAAGTACCGAGGGTTCCCCAGGAACAACATAACCGAACTCAGGATCGATAACGGCCTTAATTTGAGAGGTAAGTGGGCTAAATTTTTTTTCAAATGTCATTGTTATTGAGATGAATCAATGTCACAAACTTAATTACCATTGCCATGGTTCAAAAATATGCCTTAAATCGACTGAAATGCCCCTTAATGACAAAAAGACTTCATGCTTGCACTCCCTCAATGTTTTGCTCGGGGGCGGGGGGTAGGAGTTGAGCGGACGCATTTTTTAAGGATTCGACCCCCTGCCGACTCAAAGGGTCCCCCTTTTTGTACTATTTTCTGATATCCATTTCTGGCTGATGGACACTAAAATTTTTCTAAAGGTGCAGAAAAATTAGTTAGAACAGGGTCCATTTAGTGATTTGGGAGAGCTCGGAAAATCAATTTGGTCGGTCTAAAAAAGTTCGACAAAATTACGTCCCCCTCCCTCGAGAAAATCCTAGTTCCGCCCCTGGTTTTGCTTAACTTGTATAAAGTAGTTTTTGAAAACAAAAATAAATTTCAAAAAAATGGGGTTTCGTTACAAAATTTCTCACAGACGCGATGTCCAAAACAACTGGATATCCTTCTCAATTACAGCTAGCTTGCCTCAATTCAATTTGGATTGGCTTCTGAGTTAAAATCAATCGCCGCTACTCTTAAATTTAAAAATTGAAAAATTGGGTGCAGATATCATCCACGATTTCCCGAATTGACAATCTGCAAACATCCATAAATTTGCACAGGTTGATAGTTTTTGAACTCATGGCGTCCTTATTTTATCGAGTGGTCTGTCAATAGCAATGCTCTGAAGATACAAACTATAAACTCAAAATTATTCTGCTGCAGAAAAACTACACTGAGTACAAAGGTTTGGTTCATTTGTTTGAAAATGGTAACCGAAAAGTTAATCTGGATAATATAAGTCAATGAAAAAATTTATCTGTGCTCGAGGGGGGAAGGGGGGGGGTGGGGGGGGGGGTTTCTCTAGACAATCTTCGACTGTTTCGCTAGCAATATTTGACAGAATTTCTTATATCATTCGAAAGGTACTGTTGTCTTGAGCGTCAACTTGAAATTTTTTTAGCTGTGATAATTTTTCGTAAGACTATGGGGGCTTAAAAACTTCCAATTTGGGACAATTACCGCACAATATATTTCGTGCTATTAACGCTTAAGCAAAGATTTAATCCGTATTAGAAATCATTCCAAATTGGATTGAGGCATGCTTTTTGCTCTATTTGAAACTTTGCTCCATGCAAAATATATTACTAAGTACTTTTCATAGCGTGTGGGGGATGATTTTGAAAAAGCCAAAAAATTGTCATCAAGTATTTTTATTTAAATTGTTCCATAGCAACTAAAGCGCAGTCGGAACATTCAGGGCGTTACCAAAACAAATGTAGTCTTGTTTCTATTTGGAAAAAACTGTTGCAAAACCTCGGAACAACGGACCTGTAGCCAGAAAATTGAAATTACAAAATGTGACATATATTTAGTTTGGCGTCGAGATGTGAACACATTCCGAGATGTAAATAAAGATTGTCAATTTGGCCAATTTGTGACAACTAACGCGCGATAGGTTTTGCGCTGTTTCCGCGTAAGCGGAGATTTAATCCGTCATCGAAATCGTTTCAATATTGGGTAATAGTCATAAACGGTACAATTTTAAGATGGAAATCTATCACTTTGTTTTCTATATGACGTGTGGGGGAAGACTTTTAAGAAAAAATCTCAAACTGTTTGCAAAGTTTTTATATGATATATCATCCAGCTCGTTTTGATAACTAATTGTGGCATCTGATGATGCGAGGAAAACAAAAAAAGAAAAATAGCAAAAACACACCCGAAAACAAATATTTTCCCTATTTTCAATGGATGGAACCAAAATTCAATTTAATTGAAGATGTTCTTATTTAGAAAAAATTTCTCAATGGTTACTTCTGTTTCTAATTTTCAAATAGCTCTTAACCACTACAACTACAATCTTAAGCCTAATTTTTGAAAAAATATATGTTATACTGATTTAATATTCTGCATAATCAGAAAATGTTAAAAATAGTAGTTATTAAAGCTGAGCTTATCAAAATGTTTCTTAACGCTAATTTATGTTTCTATTTTTGAGCAGCTTTTAACCACTACAACTCGCATCTTAAGCCCAATTTTTAAAAAAATATTCAACTCATTTAATGTACTGCATAATCAGAAAGTGTTAAAAAATAGTGGTTATTAAAGCTGAGCTCATCAAAATTTTTCTCAACGTTAGCTTATGTTTTTATTTTTGAGCAGATTTTAACCACTACAACTCCAATCTTAAGCCCAATTTTTAAAAAAATATTCAACTCATTTAATGTACTGCATAATCAGAAAGTGTTAAAAAATAGTGGTTTTTAAAGCTGAGCTCATCAAAATTTTTCTCAACGTTAGCTTATGTTTTTATTTTTGAGCAGATTTTAACCACTACAACTCCAATCTTAAGCCCAATTTTTAAAAAAATATTCAACTCATTTAATGTACTGCATAATCAGAAAGTGTTAAAAAATAGTGGTTATTAAAGCTGAGCTCATCAAAATTTTTCTCAACGTTAGCTTATATTTTTATTTTTGAGCAGATTTTAACCACTACAACTCCAATCTTAAGCCCAGTTTTTGAAAAAAAATATGTTCAACTCATTTAATATACTGCATAATCAGAAAGTGTTAAAAATAGTGGTTATTAAAGCTGAGCTCATCAAAATTTTTCTCAACGCTAACTTATGTTTCTATTTTTGAGCAGCTTTTAAACACTACAACCTTAAGCCCAAAGATTGAAAAAAATTATAATAAATCTTAATTAACAAGCGTTAATGTTCAAAAAGTGTTAGAGAATAGTAGTTACCAAAGCTGATTAAATTTGGGCTCAATTAATGCCGTTTAAAAAAAAGTACCTCATTCAGGTACTTTCCTGGGCTTATTAACAAGGTTTTATTGACAAATGTGAAACTTAGACCGGGTTGTTACAGGCACTCTGTTTTGTAATCAGAACGATTTCTTTTTTTAAAGTTATTTCACCGTCAAGTTTCTTAGGTAAGAGTTTGCAACGAGTGTTGAAAAACATCAGCCGTGAGTTCCCAAATGTGCAGACTCTTGAACTCGAAAACATGGGACTCACATTCGACGAGAGAGACGCAAGAGCAAAACCCGTAAAATGTAAGCTTCAAGATTTGTTTTCTTTATTTCCTTATTTGGGGAGGGGGCGTCCAACAGTGCCGAAGTACAACAGTGACGCAATAGTTTAGTACTGATCAACATCATTTCACCTTTTTCTTCACTACTGGAGTTCGGCTCTTTTGAACGCTATTCTAAGGGCAGTACAAAAGTGCCGAAGTTCAGCAGTGCCGAAAACAATGTTGATGAACATAGTGCCGAAAACAATCCTTTTTTGGTACTGCTAAACAATAATTTTATTTTCGGCACTTTTTTTTTTACTTCGGCACTGTTGTACGCCTCTCCAAGGGCAGTAAAAAAAGTGCCGAAATGTAACAATGCCGAAAAAAAATTTGTTGAACAGTGCCAAAAATAATCAACTTTCGGCACTGTTGAAAACATTTTATATTCGGCACTGGTGTACTTCGGCACTGTTGTACTTACCCTATGGAGAGTGATAGGATATCATTGATCAGGTAAACATCCACGCCCTCAAAGCCTCTAAAAACGCTTGCCAAATTAGTTCTCTGTTAGAAACTTCAGCCAGCAAGAAACTAGTAATTTAGTCATAGCACAAAATATTTTGTTGTATATGATGAAATTTAAGAATCTTTACTTGGTCTAGCTATAGATCGAGGGATGTTAACTTGAGATAGCATCATGCTTCTTTTATGATGAAAATAGCTTTTAATGGAACGTATTTGTAGGTCCCAAAACAGAAAAGATGTCGCGTAAGTTCCAAATTTTTTCAATTGGTCAAATTGTACTTTAGCCGACTCTCCAAAAATTTTTGGATTAATGCGACTGATTTTTTATTTTGAGTCCTGTGAACATTATGGCCATTGAGAATTCACCCTTTGAATGATTTGCAGTTGCGAACCTGGTGAACGTGTCATTGAAAGGGAACAGAATTAGTTCTCTGCTGGTTTTGAACTCAATTGAGGGGTGGTGGCGGATGAAAGAAATCCGTCTGAATGACAACTACATCGATTCAGTTTCACTGGGCGACATCAAACAAGTCAGTTTATCAGATACTTTGGATCTATTTAACTAATTTAACCTTTTGCAAAATGGAGGGGGGATTTGTTACTAGATAAAAAACTCATTTCTAGAATAAAAAAACTCTCGTCAAAAATTGAATATGATACAAGAGCTTAGCAGAAACTGAGCTTTGAAGTTATAAAACGCACAAAAAACGCCTCAATTCGAACGTGATCTCCTTGCTTGATCAGGTTTGAGGGAAATTCTGAAGTTTTCGTATTTGCAACAATCAGCTTGGCATTTTCTGCCCATGCAGTGACCCCGACAGTTTTCACTTTTCGCGCAAAGCTAACGTGAGCTGTACAAAGTTATCTTTCGCTGTTTAATGGGATTCTTTACACCATGAAAATCTAGGTCGAGGACCGCGAATTATTTTTCGACTTTGTCGGTCGCGACTATGTTACTTCTGCGACCGAAAATCCATAGGCTGGACAGGGTTTTAAGTCGCGGGCAAAGTATGAAAAAGCCCTATCTCGGTTGTGATATCGAAAACTTAGTCGCGAATAACGTCTAGAATTTGCATATCTCGATTTTTAACTTACAATAGTTTCACAGATAAAGAAGTGAGCAATTTTTGATTTCATTCTGTTCTTTCAAAAATCATCGTCTATTCTATTCTGGTCGAAATTGAAAAAGCAACAGCATGTTTCGATGATTCAAAAAACCTTTAAGCCTTTCAACAATCTGTAGTTTTTGAGAACTTACAATGTCCCTAGGCTTGCTCTGATATATGACAACATAAATTGATGACTTGCCCGAAAATTGAGTTTTAAAAGAACGTAGAAATTTTACTATGTTTTACCTGAGTCATTTCGTAGACTTAACTTTGGTAGACTATTCATGGCTTATTTCCGAAAAAAAACTCTGTTTTTAAAAGTCTAAAAAACTAAAACACTGAAGGATCAGTCAAAAACAAAGTTTTTTTATTGTTTTTTTTGGTGAAATTGAAACCTGCTTTTTTGTCAAGTTTATAAGGAAGCAAAATTAGAAAAAATTTTAAAAATAACAAAGTTCTGAAATGTGAAAAACTTGTTTTCAAAGCGTTAGCTGACATGATTAAACAGTTTAGACAGTTAGACAGTTTCTTCACCTTTTTTGAGAATTTAGAAAATCCATAGGCTTGCTCTGATAGATGACAGCAAAAATTGATTACTTGCCAAGAAACAGAATTTTGAAAAATCATTTTAGGCAAAAATAACATAAATTTTGGCCTAGGTTTTTATAGAATCACATTTAGTACGCTTTTTTTGTCACCGTTCTGAAACAAAATTCGACTTTTTAAGGTCAGCAATCTAAAGAAACTTTGAAAGACGAGCCATAAATATTGGATTTAAACTGGATTTTTTGAGTTAATTTCGAATCTAATTTTTGTCAAGTTTATAAGAAAATGCAATTTAAAAAAGCGTTTAAAAATCAATTTAAATTGTAAAAATTTTGGGAAAGTTAACGTTGGCTTGGCTATATAAACATATTGCAAGATTAGTTTTAATTCCAGCTATCTTATTACACGTACAAAATTGAGCAAAATTCAATGCTTTCTTGCTTTCAAAGAAGAAAAATGAAAAACTTTAAGGTTCTGCTGGGAATTCTTTCTTCCCCTCTCATCCATGAAAAGACAGAATTCGACCAGTAACTTTTCCAACCAATTCTAAAACAGAAACATCATCAGGTTGTTAGGACATTGATTGGTTGAGTTTTTTCGTGCAATAGTTTTTTCTACCATGAACACCCCCGCCCTTTGTTGATAAAGAAAATGAAATGTTAACTTCAGATTATATCTTGCATGAGTAAACTCCTTGTCTCTGTTCCTAATTTCAACCAGTAATTATCAATTGTTCTTTCATACATCGAGCTCAAAAAAAACGCTGAAAAAAACCTGGTACGATTTGGCTGAGAACTTGAAATCGAAACAAAAAAACAATACTGAAAGTTTCAAATTACTTCTGCAGAACAATATTTTGTTCGGGAACGATTTCAACAAAATGATCAGATAAATGAATAAAGGTAACCGGTTGCAAATAGTACATAATGATCCGACCATTTTCATTAAGAAGAAAAGGTTTCTTCAAATTAGTGTCCTTTTTAGTGGGTGGTGTGATTCGAGAAAAATGCAATTGAGAAAATTAGTGAATTAGGCATTATCGACAACATTTTTCTTCAAAAAACGACCCAATAAACCGAAAACATTTCAAACATTTTTTGCAATTTTTTTCAAGCTTCTCCCTCCCCTCACGCTATGATAAATAGAAAGTGATATAAATTGAATATCATTACGAGGCCAAACTGATGGGTATTTTGTAACTTGTGAGCTGATTCCGCAACAAGGACGCTCTCTTTGTTGTTCTTTTATTCTTTCGTTTCTTTGAGCGTTACGACAAATTTTAACGTGTTTACAGACTTGCCTCTGGATTCTTGAAATCTACAGACACCAAATTATGTGCCTATCTAGTGCACAGCTGGGCCTCTTAAAAATAAAAAGGTATTATTTAGACCAAACAGCCTGCCTCAGTGTAATTTAAAACGATTTATAAGACGGATTAAATATCTGCTTACTCGGTAATAGCACAAATATATTTCGCGTGTCATTTGTCCCAAATCTAAATTGGCCAATTTGGCTATACTTAAAAATTCCGTCAAAAATTGCAAGTTGAAAAATCAAATTTTGTCTGGCGAAGAAAAACCACCCCGAGTACAAATGTTTTGTCACTGATTCGATAGTGGAGACAATGTTTTTGTTTTTACAATCATAAATAAAATCTTCATAACCTGCACACATAAGTTCAAAAAATGGCTAATTGGAAACTTTCAAACCCCCAATTTTTTTAAATCTTCAGAGGGAAAATTTGAATTTGTTAAATTTGAAGTCAAGGAATCGATGTCTCCACTCCACTGGGGTGTAATTTTCATGGTAAAAACTATGATTCCAATCACCAAAATTACCGGAATAAAAAACCGTCTCAAGAATAAATACTACGCATATTTTTGAAAACCAAACACCGCAGAAAGCACAAAGCAATAAATGACTCACAAAAAGAAACCTTGAGTAAAAGTAAATCAACTTACGTTGGAATACGAATAAATTTTATTTATTGCTTTATTTTATATGCTTGGCGTATGTCCTCATCGATTTAGTTGTTCATTTTCAAGCTTGCGATTGTTTAGTAAACCCAATTTTTGGTTGCGTTTTTTTTTCTTCAGTTTAGTTTATGATTAATTGTTCAGATTGCGAGTTTCGAGTTCGAGCCAGACGCCCGAGTGAAACTGCGGATGGATCAACAGCGTGGCTTGTTATGCGAGTGTGGCTTGAACGGTTTCCAGAAGTGGCTCAAGGCCACTGAGTTGTTCATTAATCCCACTTCAATCAAGTGCCAAATGCAGACAGAGAGAAGCAATGCGCAGTTAGAGAGGTTAGTGGACGCCCCCCCCTTCCCTATGTGATTGGACCCGCTGACTACCCAAAGGTTCCCCTCTTCGGTACTGTCTTAAGACCTCCATATTTGGCTGGCTGACCCCAAAAAAATTTTGGAGGTGCCTTTGGCACCAATATATACTAACTTTGAGAGGGAAGCTCACCCCCTCAATTTTGTTGGTCAAAACTGTGGAAAAAGTGCATAAAACGACTTTTTCGGCCTGTTTTTTGCCTGCGACGTAAAACGTAAAAATTTGATCTTAATAGTGATATGGGGAAGCTCAAAAAATCAGTTTGGTCACCTAAAAAAAGGTCCCCTTCGTTATAATCCTGAATCCGCGCATGTATATTCATATCAAGATTCAGACAACCATTTATTTTAAGTTCCTTCTAGGATGCTACAGCATGCATCAAAAAAGATCTCAGACATCGCTAGGCTAATCAACTCGCATTGAATCTAACTAACTAGTAATTCGAAAAAGTTAAATATTTGAACAATTTAGGAGGTGGATCTTGTTCATTGTTTCACCCGATTGGTACCTAATAACAATTTATCACCCATATTATGATACCATTTATTGACTAAGAAAGATTCTGTAAGATTTAAGTTCAATTTTTATATCCAGATAAGCCCTTTAGTTCAAAATGGCTTCTTTAAAGTTTTCTTATTAATTCATAAGTGAAGTTAAGTTGAGTTTTTGGGTGTTTAAAAGATGTTTGCTTTCTACTTGTCATGTTTTTTTTCCAAATTGTGAAGAAAACTGAGGAATATATGTTGTTCTTTTTTTCTATTTTAAATCAATTTCATGAAGAAATTTGACACAACGTATGAATCGATCCTGCAACCTCTAGATTACCAAAAAAAATGAGCTTGTTCTATTTCAGTCTACTGGACTTGAACAACCTATGTCAGAAGTCAAGGAAATCAACTGCTGTAGCACTACATGGTCAGTGTTATCAAACTTAATATTATGAGTATCAAAAACCAGAAACACTTCTTTTTCGATCCTTCGGCCTCAAAATTTTGGCACATAAGTTGTCAATGCATGGAAAACTCGTTAAAACAGCGTAATGGAATTTCAGACCCAAATCAATCAATAAACTTTCATATTGAACTATTGAAATTATTTTTTATAGATATATTTGTAAGGTTATAACAAAAATTATTAGGATTTTTTATAAAGAAATCTGGTTCAATATGCAAAATCTAAAAAATCTATTGGTCCCTTTTTGTGTACTATTTTACGTCTCCCATTTTCGGCCCTATAACCCCAACATTTTTCTAAAGTTGCACAAATGTACTCTAAGCTTGGAGAGGGTGTTATACCCACGGAAAGTTTTAGATGATTTGAGATTCTAAATGAAGTCCGAAATAAGATTGAATGACTAACTTAAATTCAGATTGTTAAGTGAGAATCTGTTTTCGGTTTTGAACTGACCTCGAAGCATGTGAGAATCAGAACTCATAGAAACTAGTACATAATGAGTTTTAGTTTTACATAGTATCGTATTAGAACAGATCTCTATAGATTATATAAATATACCAATTGGTTAAATATGTAGATATAAATATAGCGCCGAGTAAATATATCAGTATAGTAATCTATAGTAATGTTTTAGTTGATGTGGTCTATCTGACACAATGAGTTTCTTTACTATACACTGTATAGCATTTCCCCTTTTTTAGAAGGAAAATTATTTTTTCTTGATGGCTTTGTCCCCGGCTGATTTTGTTTCCTGACTTGGCGTGTTGGGTGTTGGAAGTGTTTTGTTATCAGAGTTGGTTGAAGTGCCCTCTTTTCCCCTTTGAAAAGTCATAGAATTCGTGATGGGTGAGATCTCCTTTAAGAGCTTCATCGCTGAGTCGAAGTTCTTTATAGGTTGCGTCCGGGGTATTGGCCTGTGGAGGTCTGTCGAGAACGTATCGAGTACTTATTGCCCTTTGATGAGAAGTCGTTTGCAATTTAGAATCTGACTTTCCCGTTTCTGTTGTAGACATGTGAACGTCCTCCCTATGTGCGCTGCGTGCCCGAATATTTTCCGGTGTGTCGGATTCCAATTGGATTTCCACACATTCGATAGATGATGATAAGGAGATCACCTCTTGTTGGCTTTGATGCGGTGTGACGGCGATTTGATTTTGTGCGCTGTTTGTAGGAGTAGGTATTACCTCGACCTGACATACCACATTTCGAATGTCCCTGTCTTGTGCTTCAATAGTGCTGATTGGAATAGCATTGCCTAGTTTTCCGGCCAACACACTGGTCCTATTTCTCATTGATCGGCGACATTGTTGATCGAAGTCTTCGGGCGTTTTCTTAGGGTCCAGTTTTTTAGGGGCTGGCTTTTTGGGGGAAGGCTTTTTCCGAGTAAGATCCGTATCTGACAGAGATATGGATGTATCGCATTCGAACTCTATATCGGCATTTTCGAGTCTGCTTTTCTTTAATTTGCTTATCGGGTTTTGTTTACCAGTTGGTTTTGGTATCACTGCAGTGTCCTGATTAGCCGAGGTTACTCTATTCTTGTTTTGGACCCTTTTGAATAGGCCGTCTATTCTGGGGTTGCGAGAGAAGCTGTTCCAGATTTTTGGGAGGTGGCTTTTTCGGGCTGACTTGAGATTTCGTTGTGTCTTGTACCCCCTGCTTGGTGGTCTGCTTTGCTCTATCCAGTTTAGGACTTTTTGCTAAAACACGAGGTTTGGCTCGAGGTAAAGGTTTATAAGCCACAAAGTCTTTAAGGGCTGCTGTGCGACATTTTCCATAAACCCGTGGATCCGGCACAAAAGCGAAACCATCGTGTCTTATAACCCGTGGCTGCTTACCATCTTCCCGAACCCAAGCGGTGTGTGGTGAGTAATTATTAATTGAGCCGTTTTCCAAAATTTTAAATTGTTCCCCAAACACACCTGGTTTTTTGATTTTCCTGGCAATAGTGCCTGTTTTTCTGGCCACTTGATCAATTGTCTGTCCTAGTTTTGGGTTAATGGTTGACTGCGGACCTTTAAAGCGGTCTTTAAGAAAAACTATTGGTGCCCTTTCCATTATTTGTTTTTCTTGCGCTGTTAAAGATCGTATAGGTATTCTTGTTTTTATATTTTCAATGTTGTGGCCGGTTTTTTTGCTTAGAAATTTTTGTTTTTCTTTAATAAGATCGTAGGCGGTATTAGTTAAAGGTAAGTGCGCACCTATAGAGAATCGAGCCAATAGTTGACGGTCGAACTCTTCGTCGCTACTGTCCCATTCGTTTAATCTATGCGGTTTCTCGGCTGGAGTGGTTGCTTTCCTTTTCCCCGATGGGGTTACAGGTTCGACGGCCACCGTGGGTTTGTTGACGGTTGTGGATTTCGATGAGGATCGCATGTTGTCTGGCACTAGCTGTGGTTCCTGTTGCCTTTGTCGATAGTTGATACCCAGCTCGTCCTCGTTGTTCACATCTCTATTCCACATGGCTTCTGCGGTTAAAGCGGGTTTTGTAAGAAGCTTTTGGTCTAAACAAGCAAGTTTGATGTTTTCCCATGATAGGTTTGACGATTTTGGAGATGTGGCTATATTGCTTAGCGGCGTGTTTGGTTTTCTACCAAAATGCGCTTCAAATGGGGTTATTTTCGTTGTTGTGTTAGGTGTTATTCTTAGGGTCTTGATAAGCTCAGCCACGTCTGAAGCAAGCTTATATGGTTTGTTACGATTATCAATTTTCATTACCGAAAGTCTTGATTTTAGTGTACTTTTTAGTCGTTCTACCATACCAATGGATCGGTGATCGTCGACTGGTGCAAAGATAAGTTTGATGTTATTGTCCTTGCAGTACAACATAAATTTTTTAGCTCGGAACCCTTGTGCCTGATCACACCTTATGTTTCGTGGTACCCCATGGTTGACTATGTGGGTTTGCATAAAGCGAATAATGGTATCCGCCTTATTATTTGTTACAACCTTTGCTGAGGGGAACGGGAGAAGCGATCGACCCCTACTAGAATGTAGACATCTTTATCATTTTCATCGGGTAGTGGCCCCGCAAAATCCAATTGGATTTCCTCGTTTGGTTCAACGACCGCGCCTAATGACGTGAAATGAGAATGCCCCGATATAACCTTTAGGTTTTTACCTTTTTGACTGCACTCTTTACAGTTTTGAGCAGTGGCAACGATGTCTCTGTGGAGGTACGGGTACCATATGTTACGCGCTGCTTCCAGCATTCCACCTTACCCAGGGTGTGTTAAATGCAGTGCGTCGACCAGTGTTTGGCGGAGTTGTTTTGGGATCACTGCGCGATCGTCGTACAAGAGGATGCCATCTCGTACTGAGAGCCTGTGTCGGACGTTGTAGAAATAGGGTCCGTAGCAAGATTTAATGGTGTCTTATTTCTGACCTTTAACCATATTGAGCAGTGGGTTGAGCGATCTGTCTTTCTTGGTTGCTGCAGCTAGAAAGGAACTGTCAAACACGTTTCGAAGTTGGCGCCGATACATTGGTACATCCTCTTCCTCTGTGACCGCTGTGGCTGAGCATGTTTGGGTTTCCTCCTCCTGGTCCGTTTGGCATCCTTGGTTTACGGGGATTGGTTGAAGTGTCACACTATCTTTCGACGGTATTACTTGATGTGACGTGTCGCTGAAGCTCAGGTCTTTGTGCAGTTGCTTGTAAGTGTCAAATGACGAGATGTTCTTTGGGTGGAAAGAAATCGTAGTTTGGGCTCCTTTGTCCTTTGTGACACTTTCTGAGTATCCGTTGAAACGGCGGCAATGACATTCCAGATGCCGAGTGGGATATTTGGCGGTTCATAGTGGTGTGATGGTGAATTTTTTTTTCGGAAATTTTCGATTCAAAGTTCGGAATTTTGGATTGATTGCAATTTTCTGATCGACTGAATGTTGACTTGTGACTATTCAAAGTGAACGCGTTAGCTGTTTCAAATGAATCTGAATGAGAACCGTTTTCGTTCCGGTCGAGCTTTTGCGTGTTAAACGTTCCGTACGGATTGGAATTCAATGCTAGATTTAAACTTGCGCCATCCTGAAATTCAAGGCACGCAATGAAATTGTCAATCATTGCAACTACAAATTGTTCATCCCAGTATGCGGGCGGTTCAGTTTTTCCTACTGGGTGCCTAGAAATGTAATCAATTAGCCCCATTTTACTACCCGCGAGATGTTTTATGTCAAAGTCAAATGGTAATAAGCGATCTATCCATCTGGTTAATCTACTTTGATAAATTTTGTTGTTTTTGTTGCATTGTAAAGCGCTAACTAAGGCTTGATGGTCGGTAATCAAAATGAATCTTCTACCATATAAGTAGTATTTAAAATGCTCTATTGCCCATACTGCCGCGAGCAGTTCTAATTCATTTACTGAGTATTTGTTTTCGCAAGAATTTAGGAATCTTGAGGCATACGCAATTATTTCCCATCCGTCCGGAGTCTCTTGTTCCAAGGCACATCCGATACCGTCCCGACTAGCGTCGCAAACCACGCGTGTTTCTCGACCACTTACGAAATGGCGATTTTCGGTTATATTGCGAACAGCGTCTAGTATGTTTTGAAAAGCTGTTTCGTGATGGTTATCCCATTTAAAATGGTATTAGTTTTCGTTTGAAAGCAACGGCCGGAGTGGAGTGCATAATTGCGCTAGGTTAGGGATATGTTTGTTTAAATGATGTATGGAACCCATAAAGCTCTTTAACTGCTTGAAGGTTTTTGGATGGTTCAGCTGTACTATTGCGTCTGTTTTTTTTCTGCATTGGGACTGTACCAAATTCATCAATAACGTATCCCAACCACTCTATTTGTTACACCCAAATTTACTTTTCCCTAAGAATATTGCCATATTTTCCGCGTCGAGCTTGTCTAAAGTGCGTTTTAGCTTGTTCATGTGATCATCTCTTGTTCCGTGGGATATAATCTAGTTATCATCCAAAAATGCAAATGTATCCCTTTCATTATTGAGTGTTAGATCAATGGCCTTCTTAAATTCTGCAGGCATGTCAGTTAGACCATAAAAGCCCGTTTGAAACTGATATGTGCCTGTAGCCTGATCCCCGATAATGCTAAAATTACATTGTTGCCGCGTTGCTTCGTCTAGTTTTAATTGGCTGTACGCATATCAAAGATCTATTGTCAAAACCAATGTGGTACCTGGCTTTTTGTGGCCTTGCTGCGCTGATTGAGCGACATTATCGAGTAATGCATCAATGTTTGGCATTTGATACATGTTCTTATGTATCATTTTATTAATTTGTTTCGAATCCATAGCCAATTGTATCGATTGATCTGTTTTGACTGTAATGACTATAGGGCTGATAAATTGTTGGTCACTACATTTTTTCAATTTAACGATATGCTCCTGATCTATGGGGGATCGAATTTCTTGTTCCTTTTTTTCCTGAATGTGTCTAGGGATTCTTCTACCTTTTTGTTGCAATGCTTTCATTTCCTTTAGGAATGTTGTATGCACCACATGGTTACGTGCTCTACCGATCCTTGTACATAAGCCAGGATACGATGTTTTCACCCAGTTGGTTATTTTTTGGTCTGAGCAATTTGTATCTTCGGAAATTGCATTAATTGACTTACCAGCTGGTGTTTGTTTCAGTTGAATCCCTATTTGTGGTAGAATGTTTCTGCCTAAGATATTTGCTCTTTTATCGTCCACCACTATCAGTGAAGTTGTGTCGAGAGTCCATCCTCCGGATTCAATAGGTGTTACCACTCTTCCGAATGATTGGATTTTGTATCCATTGTAGCAGACCATTCCGTTCGCCTCATCGGTTTTGGTTGTCTGAACTCGTCTCGCTGATTTTACTGTTGATACTATCAGATTCGCCGTTCGTTGATTGATGAAAGATGTCGGCTATCCGGTGTCTGCGAAACACTAAGTCGTTTTGGCCACATTGAACTCTCACTAAGTGTCCTTTGAGATCAAATTCGTCAATTTGGTTGACCGATTTGCTTTCGAAACGAATTGAATTCGTAGTTGAATTGTCTGGATGTATGAGTTCCCATCCTGGAATCAAATCGCTCGCTTGCATATAGTTTACATATGCGGCTACGTCTGTATCTTGGGATATCTGTTCTGCTGCTTGATCCTCTTGGATAGCGTTGACCTCGGATGATTTGCATAAGCGTGCGTAGTGTCCTCTTTTTGTGCACTTGTTGCATATTTTATCCTTCGCAGGACATTTTTGCAGGTGTCCTGGCCCAAAAGGGTTACCGCATTTGAAACTTACACTTTGTTGTTTTTGGTCCGTTGGCTGTCGCTGAGCGTAACCATGTTGCTGTTGTGATTGTTGACGCTGTCGTCCTCCCCTTGATGAGTAGCGGTTGTTATTGTTGTTTTTCCTTTTTGCTATGAAACCAACTGGTTGCGATTTCACTGTGGTTATTGGCGTGTTCGGTGCCGATCCTTGTTTTCGAATCAGTATTTGGTTTTCTAAACCCTGTTCCCGTCGAATCGCATAATCTAAGGCTTGCTCAGGCGTCTTTGTTTCAGCCAGAAGATCCTCTTGCATTTCGTCGTTGGACTTATTTGCGGTGAAAAGGTCCCTGATGATTTCTGTTTCAAGTCTTCCATCATTACAATTCACGCATTTGAATTTCCCTTTTACCACCAACTCCGTTAGGCCACAGTGGTACTGTTCGAGTGATTCTGTTTTCCCTTGTTTACGAGTAAACGCCTCATTTCTAACGAAGGTGACATTTCGTTCTTTTACAAAGAGACGTTTCAGACGGTCACAAAAATTTCTGGTGGTAACCTCTTGAATCCTAAGATCTAGGTAATATTGTGATACTCTTCGTTGGCCTTCAGCTCCCAGACATAAGTAATTGTAACTTATACATTGTATGTCCGCTTCGTCCCATGGGACGCCGACCACCGTGGGGCTTAAGTTATCTAAGTGTGCACATTGGTTTTCCCATGTCACCTTTTTCTCTTGGTTACGAAGATTGCGGTCACGAATCTGAACATTAGTTTCCCCATCAATGGGAAGTTCGTATCCCGGTTCTTGAGGTCGTCTGATTGCAGGAGGATCTCGGAGTAGTTTTGATAAGTCTATACCATCTTTCGCAATGATTCCCAGAAATAATTGTTGATTCCCTTTCTCCCACTCTATTGGTGGGGCCGCCGAGGCTTTTTGCCAGAATGGTGAAATTCCTAATGGGTTTTTCGTAACTGCTGGCTGCGCCATTTTATACCCACGGAAAGTGTTAGATGATTTGAGATTCTAAATGAAGTCCGAAATAAGATTGAATGACTAACTTAAATTCAGATTGTTAAGTGAGAATCTGTTTTCGGTTTTCGGTGAGAATCCTCGAAGCATGTGAGAATCAGAACTCATAGAAACTAGTACATAATTAGTTTTAGTTTTACATAGTATCGTATTAGAACAGATCTCTATAGATTATATAAATATACCAATTGGTTAAATATGTAGATATAAATATAGCGCCGAGTAATTATATCAGTATAGTAATCTATAGTAATGTTTTAGTTGATGTGGTCTATCTGACACAATGAGTTTCTTCACTATACGCTGTATAAAGAAATCTGGTTCAATATGCAAAGTCTAAAAAATCTATTGGTCCCTTTTTGTGTACTATTTTACGTCTTCCATTTTCGGACCTATAACCCCAAAATTTTTCTAAAGTTGCACAAATTTCTAAAGTTGCCCTAAAGTTCAATTTCATTTTTTATAAAGAAATCTGGTTCAATATGCAAAATCTAAAAAATCTATTGGTCCCTTTTTGTGTACTATTTTACGTCTTCCATTTTCGGCCCTATAACCCCAAAATTTTTCTAAAGTTGCACAAATGTACTCTAAGCTTGGAGAGGGAGAGCGCGCAGATAAAATGTGCGTAAAAACCTTTCAAAAACTTTCAAAAAGACAAAATTTGCTGCCTTTTATCAAAAATTTTTCAGCGGCCTAGAAAGTTTTTGCAAAACAGGATTGTCATATTAAATTTGAAGAGCTTGGAAAATCAAATAAAGCTTTAAAAAACCCTCTGAATGATCCGTTATCCGGCCCTGAATAAGATTAAGATTGCAGAAAGTTCTAATTATGTTCGGATACAAAAGTACGAAACTTTAGTGGGATTTCTTGGCCTTTAGATTCACAAAGAAAGGCGATAGTTTCCGGCAGTTGAAAAATGACATTTGAATCTGATTATCGTGACCTTTTTTATTTTTTTTTCGGCAGAAAAGTCTTTAAAAAAGTTGGTTCTGGGAAACTTTTTGGGGTCATTTTGTGACTCTGGAGTTAGAAGCATACAAAGCTCTCTCCAAAATTATCTCTCAACATCATCTGGACTTTATTCTGTTTTTTACTCTGGACTTCTGGACTTTTTGTTGATTCATCTGGACTTTTAACTGATTCATCTGGAGTTTTTAATGATTAATCTGGACTTTTTACTGATTCATCTGGAGTTTTTACTGATTTTGCAGTCATTTATAAAAAAATTTAAGAATGGTTTTTATCGCAGTGAGATTTCCATATGTGAACATGATAATGCTTTTGAAAGGGTGTGGGGGATGTATACCTCTGTTTTTTCACGGGGTTTTGGCCCTCTGAACACTCTTAGGTTTCCTTTTTTTGGGTATATTATACATTCCTTTTTGGGTGATCAATGCCAGTTTTTCTTTGGTGTCAATATACTATAAATGTCTGTGGCTCGAAATCTTTTGGTCAAAATGTTCGATTAGAGCCTATACTTAATTCTTGGCCCGTTTTTTTTTTGATTTTTTTTCGAATAATTTTTGTGAAAACATTTCATTTGCAAATTATTTGCTTTCTGTTTTTTTTTGTTAGATCTGCTTCTGTATATTTATAAACATAAGTAAATGTTTTTATCTCTATGACTAGATGTCAACTTTATAGTTTCTAAAGTCAGCAGCTTTTAAATGAGATCATTTTTCTTTTTCTGTTCACAGGAGTGGGTAAAATGAAGGGGTCAGTTGCTGCCCTGATAGTGACAGGGTCAGTGGTGGGCATCATTGCCATGTGTGTCATCTTCTGCCACCATCGCAAACTAGGAAAGACAG